CGACTAACTTTCAGGATTTGGTCGCCAAAATGAAAAATTTAGGCGCATTGGCGCAATTTCACGCCCTGATCAAGAGCCTCTTTAATTGCTGATCATTTCCTTTATCCTCATGGCCTTAATGTGTGATTCAGGGGTGATGTTGTAAGGAGAGATTCAGTGCTAGTCACTCTAAGGGGGTTAACGTTGAATAAACGGTGCTTTTTCCTCAGATACCTAAATGAGAAGCAAAAGGCTTTAGTATTAGCATATGCCGAGCTTGAGGATGAAGTCAGCGGCACAGTAAATGGAGTCGATAAATCAGCAAAAGGTGGGTAATTTATTTTAAATCTGAATCAATGGGCAGCCTAAGTGTACAGTGTCATCTCTCTCTCTCATCCTCTTCCTTGCATTTGAAATTCTCTAGCAGAAATCTTAAATGCAATGCCACGTTATCAGGGTATAAATTGTCCACATCAAGGTGTGAGGAGGCATTTGAGTTTCATTATCACGTATTTTCCATTGTTTTTATGTTTGGTTTTTTGTTTTATTTCTTTTGTGTCGTTTTTTTTTTTCGATGAGTGGAGCTCCTCTATTCGTGATAACAAGTCTACCACCGTAAACTTGTGGCGGAGTTTTAGGTGTGTCGCTTTATTTGAAGCTCATGGACAGGACTACAGTGAAAAAGTTCCATTGCAATGTAATCAAAACGGGACGATGAAGAACGAAGTAATGATCGTCTAAGTTTGAATTGATTTTTTTTTGTTCAAAATACTCCTTTCGGGAAATTCTCATAATTTAAGTTCACATGACATATTGTCATAGTGTAAGTTTTCAAGACAAGGTTTCACAATGAAAGCTTGCGTGGCTAGTTTCCACAACATTTGAGTTTGCAAGGCTAAGTGCCGTGACTAAAGTGACAAGGGTACACAAATGGAGCTTTCGTGACATTGTGTCTCGAAGCTTATATGACGTTCGTGTCCCTCCATCACACAGACGCCCCACCCAGCCAAACTTGGCAGGCGTATGAAACATCCACCGGTGGAAAGACGGCGAATGAGATTGATCTCGAAGAAGTCGTCAAAAAGAAGCGCCCCTTGGGTCGGTTTATGCCTGACGGATCATGGGATGACGAAGACCCGGAAGGCAGAGCTCGACTCGCGAGACGGCAGTTTTTGAGAATAGCGATGGTCGCATCGTTCACTATAGCTGCCTATCTGTTTATGCAAATCATCTTGCTGGGGGTTGAAGCCCGCGAGTTTGATTCGGAGAACGCTCATTGTGACAATTTAGAAAATGGAAGTTGACAATACAGTAGTAAAGGGATAAATATTTGTAAATCTAATTTGTTAAATTTTAAGGGGTTTGATAGTAATAAGTAGATGTACCGAGGAGGAATTGAGGAGCCAGGAAGTGTGAATGTGACAAAGTGTTTAAAATCCCCGATCAGGCTCTCTTGTTTCCTCCTCTTATTTTTGTCCCCTTTGCTATCTGTTGTGTTGGAAACAGTTACGCTATATAATTTTCTGGTTGAATAACACTCCACCTGAGAGGTCATCACCCAACAGCTGCTTCGCTTTCCCGCTGTGCAACAGTTTAAGAAGCATTTGCGAGCGACATTCAAAGCTTTGAATTTAGTTACCCTAGTGAATTAGGATTTTAACACCAAGTCACTAACTCTCCTTTTTTTGGCTCTTCAATTTCTCCAGACCAAGGAACAAAGACGACTGCTGAAGATGATAGCGGATTGCTAGGACGCTTGAAAAAAGCATTCTGCCGAGACGATGACGAAGATGATGACGACAAAGATAACAGGCGACAGGGAAAGGCGTGATAACGCATGCGCACCCTGCTAAAAGTGTTGCGCAAATTGCACGAACTGTCCACTGTTTTTTTTAGTAAATCGTCATTATTACTCTCTTTTTTATGGTTCAAGGATATGCCAGGCAGTGCATCACTGCCTTCGAAGGTAAGGCGTAGGATTTCTGTCTCGAAAATCTGCTATGCGAGTCAAATTATTTCCTAGGACGTTACAATTCACGCGAATAATTTTTCTGGACGTCGTAATATTAAATGTATTTATACAGGCGGAAGGCGTTGCCAATCCTACAGGGTTTTATAGACCTTTTAAGCGAAAGAAATATAAGAATGGCTTGTCTTAAATCGCACTGTAGTTTAAATTATGAATGCACACCAATCTATTTGCGTTTTGTTTATTTGTTTGTGTGATTGTTTCTTTCACCACGTAATATTAAAGGTAGCCGCTTTTTTGAAATTTTTTGTTTTTTTGCGTGTTACTTAGAATTAAATTCCTCTGTTACTCAATTTTGTCAAACATTCTGAGAAAGATTTCTTCATTTCTCCTAACGTCTGCTCCATTGAGATCAGGAGTTTTTCCCTAAGAATCAGATTTTTGAAAATGGTTTATTTTCTGATGTGATGAGAAAGTAGTAAAAAAAATTTCTAACTTTTTTTCTAGCAAAGGTTACTTTATGATATAGTTCTAGTACTGCACTTGAGAAGATCTTATTTCCCGCTAACACAAATTATAGATTCGGGCTTAGGTGAAGTCTAACTAGGGCAACTTTAGAACGGATAACATTTCTCTGAAATAAAAAATTGTTTGGTTTATACGCTTAACCTACCGTTCCTCATTCTGTCGAGTTAAAACAGCAATTTTCGTTGACGCAAATTGTGGCCAAGAACTCGAGCAAGAGGACAAGAAATTCGTTTATGGTGAGTTCATGTATTTCCACGGCGCCGTTTTTCGAGCAGTTGGTTGTCGTTCGATTGCTTTATGCTAATTTGCATCCTTAGAAAGTTAAAGCGCGTTGCCGTTACACCAATCATTTTATTGCGCATATTGATAAAATTTTATGTGTTTCTTATGACGACTCTTAAACCATTGATTTTAAACTTTGAACATTTCAGAAATAGCTTTTGTCTCGTCGATTGAAACTATCAATTGAACATCGAAAACTAGAAGGCTGATTCTCAAAAATTTCGCCCATAGCGGAAGTTTCCTGTTGCTTTCTAGACGTCTGGAGCTGACTCAAGAGAAATTCTCTGTGAGAGGTTCATGGACGAGACGTTTGACTATTTTGTTAACCTTCGTTACCCTGAGCACACGTTTTATCTAACGAAAACTCCAAAATATGGGAGAAATGTTCAATTGGGTATGGAAAGTAAAATAGGATTGCACTGATTTTGCGTTTTTTCGCTCTATGGCTGGTTTAGAGACTAAACCAATTTACTTAACCGATCTGATGCAAAACTAGAGCAGTTTTAAATTGACTGTCGGAAAACCAAAACAATACAAATCACAACAGCCAATCATAACTAAGTTTACGTCATCATTAGCCTATGAGGACTCAAAGCAAAAACAGACAACTTAAGCTCTTTGTCAATTATTTGTTTTGATTGGCTGCTACGATCGCCTTAATTTTCGTTTTACTATACTTAATTTATAGGAAAGAAACATCGTTGAAAAAAAATTCGTGCCCAAAGTAGAAAACTTAAAAAGGATTAAGCCGGCTTATACAAAAATAAACAAAATCGCTGTTATATTTTAACAACTAACAGATCATCGAATTGATATACTCCTAAACTTTCCCTTATCAGAAATTCTAAGCTTGGCTTTATCCTTTTTCTTTTTCTCGGCTTCGGCAATCCATCTGCTGATGTAGTATTTCTCCAAATTTCGCGCCTGCACGACTGACGGAGGGTCCAACGGGTTTTTATGTCTCAAATCCAAGTGATGGGCACCATCTTCAATCAGTACAGCAATGAGGCTGTCGCTTATGTTGCGGGTAACCCCGCCTGCAGCCCAGGGATCAAGGGCACCGTTACTATGATGGGACAAAATGAAAGCAAAAATTCGTTACGTGATTATTCCTAGGTATCTCTCGTTAGCAGAAATAAACTGAAAAGAGTTCCCTCTGCGAGTTTTGCGCTTTAACGGTGGGGTTGTCAACACAGAGGTCAAACGTCTGCACATACGTTAACATTGTAATGACTGAGTGGCTCCTAGTAAGTGGAGATTAGCTCTGATCCGATCCGTTTAGAAAAGATCTTGTTTTATGCACCATTCAGTATCTTAGACGAGAATATGAAAACTCATATCAAGAAAAAGATAATCATTAACTTACCTGAACACTATATTACTGTGAGCTTTTAGTTTCTTGCCACCATACTGAATCTCGGCCCAGTACTCCAACG